AAAACAGAAGAGCTCTCCTATTCCTCATTAACAAATAGAGAAGCTCTCTTACTCTTTATGAACAAATAAAGAAGCTTTCTTTTTCTTTATTAAAGAATAAAGGAGATTTCCTACTCTTTGCTCATGGATAGAGGAGCACTCTTATTCTGTATTATCAATAGTAGAACGTGCTTGCTCCTCTTAAAAGGATGGAGGCGCTCTCTTATTCTTTATTCATGCACAGAGGAGGGGTCGTATTTTTAAATATGTCTGATTCCTTTCTAAAAGATATGGAGGAGCTCTCCGATTCCTCGCTAGCGGATAGAGGAACTCTCCTGCTCTTCATTAGAAAATCTAGGATTTCTCTTATTCACAAGTAGAAAGCTCTCGTTTTCTTTATTTAAAAATGTAGCAGCCCAATGCCTATTGTAAACCACTGGACGGGTCACATTACACGTAAAGGTCCCTGCCTCATATATATATATATGACAGGCTTCAGGAACCACGCGTTCCGAACTCCGGAAATTTCTGACAATCCAAACGTTCTGAAAAGTCAAAAGCTGCGAGAATTTACAGAAATTCCGAAAATTCCAACAATTCCAGGACTGGAGGGGCGATTCACGATGTCCTGAAACTTCTTGGAATCTGGAATTCCAATAATCCAGGATCATGGTTGGCGGAATCTTTGGAATTTTCGGAATTGCGGAATGTAACTATTATATCGGAATTTTTTGAAGCTTGGAATTCCAAACATCCATGACGATTGGTTCAGTTCTGGAGGGACTTGTTGGGCGGCAAAGTCTGTGAGAAACCACAAAGAACGAGGTCCGTGGGGCGGGGTAGCTATCTATGTGACCTACAATCAATATTTCCTACATAATTTAATGGACATGTTAGGGACTATATTAGGGACTATACTAAAGTACAAGAGAGACCCCTATGTCCACTCCTAAGGACCCCTAAATATTGGCAGGAGATCATGTAGAAATGTGCATCTACCCTCTTCTTCTTAAGGTGGTAGGGAGCCCTACGGCTCCCGCAGGGCACAGGGCTTCAATGCCCAGCCCGTGTTGGGCTTCTAGGTTGGTTCACCCCTCATGATGGAAGATCCCTGCCAGCTCCGTTGTCCCAGTTATGGACCAAAAGCTGACCATAAGTGGGCTAAAGTGTAGTATGAGCACGTGTTGGAGCACACGCACGCTCTCTTCTTCTTCTTCTTTCGGGCGGTAGAGGACCCTACGGCCCTCCCGGCGCACAGCGCCGCACCCCGCATGTGTCCAGGTCTGGTCGGGTACTCACGTGGCTCGATGTACAACGGATCAGGTTCCAGGGACATGAGCACCATTCAAGAGTAAGCACGCTCTTCTTCTTCTATAGGCTATGCAGCATCAGAGATGCTGCGGGGGCGAACCCCCAGCCCGCGAGGTTCAGTCAGGCGTCGCAATGAGGCTCTCGTGTTCACCGATTGTTACATAAGAGAACCAATCTTCTTCTTCTACCCGTCCCCCCTTCCCTATCCGGTGCACTTCTCCTCTTTTGCCGGAAAATGGTCGGGTTTCCTACCTCCGAAACAAATGGAGCCGAGGAAGGTTAAGGAGTGATTTTCCCCTACTGCCGCTCAAACCCATACAGTATCCATCACTCCTGCCTGCGTCTCACTGCTCCTGGTGCCGGGTGTCCGCTTTTTTACAAGGAGATCTACATGACATTGTCCCGCTTACTCCGCTTCACAGGTACTTCGAATTTCCTCCACCTTGCTTGCCTCGAATTTTCCTCTACCACACTGCACTTCCAATTACCTGCTTCCCTCGTCCTCAGGTTAATTCCCATCGGAATACCCATCCCCATACCCCTTGCTTCCCTTGGACTTGGGCTGTGCAAATTACACGCTGGATCGTTAAGGTCTCAGTAAGCCAGGTTTCCTCCATCTTGTGTGGAGAATTCCCAGCAGCATGCCGAATTCACTTCCCTCCCTTTTCTCAAAACTTTAAATTCTCAATGTCTCAGTATTGTGCGATGTCCCTACCCAGTAATTTCATAAGGTGCGTCATGTACGATGCTGTCACGGTAACCTCTTGCAGAAATCTCTTGCCTGAATTGCCTCAGCTATGGTGTTCCCATCTCGCATTGTCTTCTTTGTACTTCCCACCCGTATATTGTTTGTCGCCATGTTCCCTCTGCCAGCGCTCGTCCTCATCTTCTCGCAGCGTTGCTAGCTTTGCCTGGACCTTGTTGTATGTGATCCCTTCTCCAAATACGTTGTCCAGACTTTGTAGCCGTTTTGCCAGTTCTTTTTCATCTTTGTCCTTTTGGTCTTCGCTCCAGTGTGCTTCCCATCGCTTACGGTGCGTATCTTCCTTCTGCAGCCGAGCACCAGGTAGGTTACCTGTTCCAGTTCGACTTGGCTCGGCTTGTGTTCTGGCTCCGCCGGCTTCGTCGTTCGATGCCATGTCCAGTCTGGCTCCGGATTTCTCTCCTTCTTGCAGTCTTTTTCCTCATCTGTACCTATTTCTTCTGCGCTGGCGCCGCCTTCAATGGGTGTCTCTTCTCCTGGCCTCATTGGCGATGCCGGTCTCTCCCTGTTGGGCTGGTTGTCTTTCCATTCCTTTTTCTGAACCTCTGTTGTTCCAAGCTCCGTCTGTACCGCAATCTCTTTGGGTATCTGTGGCTGCAGGTTCCCGCTTCCAGTTGGCGTGTCGTCCTTCACCCTCTGTGGTGCTTTCCTGGCTTCTTCCAGCTTGGTTTGCTTTCGTCCACTCTGGCGCTGGCCGGTGGCGGGACCATCTTTCTTCTTTCCTCCTGCTGGGTCTTCCCCTCCTTCTTTTTTCCTTTGTGTTCCCGCTCAGGGTGGTCTTTTTGGTCTGGTTGTCCTCCTTGGTTTGCATTTTCGTATTCTCCATCTGCTGTCCTGTTTCCCCCTTGGGGGCTTTCCATCCCAGGATCTCTTCCACCATGTCAGGCGATTCCTCTCTTTGCTGGTTCACTGTCATCGCCTCGGGCTTCTTCCCTGTATCTTGGGGTCCTGGCTGCTTCTTCCTCGTCTTTGTGTCTTCTCCTAGGTGTTCTCGCTTGCGCTTTGTCGATAGCCTGTATGGCCTTCGGCGTAGAGCTGGTTGAGCTGCTTGAGCTGCTTGAAGACGGATTATCTCCCCTTCTCTTGGGGTCTGCGACCCCAAACCTGAAAATCTATTCAACCCCAAACCCTAAACCACCCCAAACCCTACACCCAAACAAACACCAAGCAGTAAACCTTGAGCAGCCCTAAACCCTCAAGCCATAAAGCCCAAACCCTAGACTCTCATCAACACCAAGCCCGAAACCTTAAAGACCTGCCACCTCCTCTCGGGCCTGTTCCGCATCTTGTCTCTGCAGTGCCAATTCCAATAATAGACGGTGCCGTCCCTTGATCCCTCCGCGTGCAGCTCTTTGCATTTGTGCTACCGTAGCTCCGGCCACAGAGCGTGCACATTCCTTTTGGTATGTGTGGCTGCCCTTGGTTCCTAGCGCGCACACTACACAGACTCCCGCCTTGGTGCCATCTGCTTGGTCCCTTGCTGTCGCGCTGGAGGAATTCTCCGGATGGCTTCTCTCTGTCTCTGCGCCTCCACCTCCAGGTGACCGCTCCCTTGTTTGCTCCGCTCCTTTTCCTTTGGTGCCATCTCCTTTGTCCCTTGCTGTCGAGCTGGAGGAATTCTCTGGTCTCTGCGCCTCCACCTCCAGGTGGCCGCTCCCTTGTTTGCTCCGCTCCTTGTCCTTTGGTGCCATCTCCTTTGTCCCTTGCTGTCGAGCTGGAGGAATTCTCTGGCTGGCTTCTCTCTGTCTCTGCGCCTCCACTTCCAGATGACCGCTCCCTTGTTTGCTCCGCTCTTTTCCCTTGTCCGGTTCCCACTGAGAGTGGTGTGCCGCGAGTATGAGGCTCCATGGCAAGTTCGTTCAAACTTCCTTTGCAACCTTTAAACCCCCCACTCCCTCTAGAAGAAAAATGCAGCTCCCCAACAAGCTTCTTCCTTAGGTCTCGGTTTCTCTCTTTCCTCCTGTGGCAGGGGCTTATTCAAGGCAGAATCCAACCTTCCCACAATCCGAAGCTGCGCTGACTAGTCCAATCCCTATCCCAATCAGGTGTTTATCTGCCACTGAGGATCCTCGAGATACTCCCGTTTGTCTGAAAAAAGAGGCTGCGGCGTATGGCCTCAAGCCACCCCCAGCCAGGGCACGTCCACCCCCCACAGAGCAGGAGACACCACTCCCACCCCGGAGGGGGCCGGCCTTGACTGCACCCCACAAGGGAGGTGCGGTGGATGACTTGAGCCAAGTAAGCACGCTCTTCTTCTTCTTTTACAGGCTCTGCAAGACCCGGAGGTCTTGCCGGGGCGGACCCCAAGCCCAAGCGCACGTCCGAGGGTCAGTGCCCAGGAGGTGGAACAGCGATCGCTCGGAACGAATGTGAGTCACCGCTCTTCTTCTTCTTCTTCTCCTTCTCATTGTGCTACCCTCCTAGCGGAGGGGGCTGGGGCAATGCCCCACACAGGTCAGGTGTCACGCAACACCAAGCTGGGCCCCGATTAGCAGCCATACGCAGCACGCGAAGACATCAGGAATAAAAGCTCAACAGCCCAGGTGAATGCTCGGAGTAACTGCACTACTCCCTTGCATGCTGCATATGACCTTCACCGCTACCGACCTGATGCGTGACGAGCCCACTGCGGCAACAGCTCTCTTGGTCATTGCCCTGTACTTCAGCAGGGTGTGGTTTCTTGAGTCACCGCTCTTTCTTTCTTTCCACTGCTCTACCCCCCGGAGAGGGGGCTGGGGAAAAACCCCAAGCAGGACGATCCATCAAGCTCGAAACTGCACCGCTCTCTCTCTCTCTCTATCCCCCTTTCCCGTTTGCGCGCTTTCCTCGCAGTTGGCCCACTCGAGTGTGATGCCTCGCCCGTTGGCCGCCGCGATGCGCAAAGCGCTGACCTTTCCCGGCGGACCTGAAGAAGCCAAGGCAAAAAGCGAAGCTCAAAGCTGAGCTTCGTAGAGGCTTCGCTCTTCGGCCTGCTGGTTCGGTGGTGGCGCCCACGGCTGGGCTCAAAGAGCTCAGTACACCTTCCCAGGCATTCTAGCCCCAACCCAGCTGCAACCCAGGCACCACTTCTGATGCATGCGAGGCCCTGGAAGGCCTTGCGTGCTGACAGCAGCCATGCTGTAGGTGTACTCATGAGCTGCCATGAGGCCGGTGTCAGTGTACTGCAGCACCTCTTCCGCACAATTGATTACAAAACAATCTCGAATGAGTGCTGTGCGAAATCTCCTTCTTAGCGCAGACGCCATGTGAACAGGGTCGGCTCCTATCCATTATGCGAGCTTTGGAGGGTATCGCGGTTGTTGTGTTGGCTCCCTATGACGTGTAGCCTCTCCTTTCTAGATCTGGTCCAGAATGGCATGTGCATGCATGTGCATTGAGGTCCGAACCGCGGAGGCCAGAGAGGCTACTTGCTGGCCGTTCCTGAAGAGCCGGTAACCTGCTTGGACAGCCGGCAGGGCGGGCAGCACTGTGCTCCGCTCTGCAAAGATGCTTCAAACATAATTCAAAACGCCTTTCACACTTTGGGCTGCCGGTCGCCAGCTGAGTGCCACAGATGTGCGGCAGATCTTCACCTGAAGTGCACCCGGCGTCTCTGAGCTTCGTTACTGTAGCTCCACTTTAGCTCCACTTCACTGAGCACTCGGCGACAGCTGGAGGCTCGGAGGGTGTTGGAGGCATTTGCAACCTGGCTGCCGAGTGGTATAAAGCTTCACCGGCTTGAATCCATCTCCGATGTAAGGGACATGCTTTTCAATTCTTCCGCCACTGATGAGCCACACCTCAAAGACGCTCCAGCCGTCTCAGCCATCTGGCAGATCTGCGCCATGCTCGTATCTTGGCGTCTCCAGGCGCCCCCGAGGCCCCAGCACCATCTGAACCAGGCGGGATTCGGAAGTTCCCGCCCCCGGCTGCCTAGGAGAGCCCCAAGGAGAGGTGGAAACGGCCGAGACACATGTCGCATCATGTCGCCTTGTCCCAGCGGTAGTGAGGCCCCCCATCGTTAAGCACGAACTCCAAACCGCGTACCTCTCGAAAACATGCCCTCACACTGGCAAGCATGCCGTGCCTTTTCTTTTAACTGATTGTTGCACATTTTTGCGCCTTCGAAGGCAGCCGGGCCACGAAGAGTGGGTGACCTTCCAAGTCCTCAAGCCGTCAAGACATTGCCTCCACATGAACAAATCGAGTGCGTGCACGTGCGTACCTCTGCGGAAGCTGTGAAGGCCAAGCCTCCCAAAACTTCGCTGAAAATTCCGCAAGCATCCGCAAGCGTCTCAGAATCGTTGTCCATGCCTGGAAGCTGTGACCAGGCGCCTGCACCCTGCGCCAAAAACAGGCATGGTACACTGGAAACACACATGACATTGCATCCATGGCATATCATGGCATCATATGGCACATTTTGAAACAGGTATGTGCAATGTGTTACGGAACAGGCCTCCGGGGTTAGCTCCCTGCAGTGCAGGTGGGGGCTCGGCCATGCACTGCGGTACAGCAGCACGACCTTGGGACCAGGATTGCAAAATGCGAAAGGCATTCATGTATCTGTGAACAATCGCATCCTCTAAATTTTTAATTGGTCAAGGAAACGTTCTCGCTTTCCAGCATGTCCAGGAGCCTTCGAAGACAAACTCACGGATGGCTACGCCGGCTACGCGCTGCTACGCTTTATCAGCACCCTGTGCCTGAGACCCTCTGCTTGCTCCAGACCTGGTGCCGACCTTCACAGAAGGGACTCGAAGAAACATCAAGTTGGCGTGTCAAAGGCGTTTTGCATGAAACCGGGCGCACACAGCTTGCAGAGGTGCCGGATACGCGGGATGTGCCGGCGCTGGCGCTGGCACAGTTGTGACTTCCACAGCCTTGCGTGGTGCTTGCAGCTGTGTTCGGCGTGGAGCGGGCCATGCTACGCCGTCTGGACCTGGCCGAGCTTCTCCAAAGTCTCGCCGACGAGGGTCCAAGCTCCAGGCCCTTTCAGAGAGAGAGAGGAGTTGTATGCTTTGCGGAAACGTGTGCGGCACAACCCCTGCAAGTGTCCCACCAGGCAATCGCCAGTTGTTCCCGCCAACCTCGCAAAGCGTGGCCAAGCGGAAAACAAATATGTGCTGGTGTGGTTCATGTGCGGTACATGCAACGCGCTCCTTATGCCATTGGGAACCTCCGTCGTTCGGGACAAATTCTAAAGCCTGCCGAGCCAATTCATCGGAAAAAAACCGAGCTCAAAGCTTTAGCGGACATACGTGAATTGCGTGAAGAATGACACATCGCACAACAGATGGAAGCTTTGGTGGACTTTGCCTGGGCATGAGGCAGATGCAGGGCCCACCAGCCATCAGCATGAGGGAAGCCCACAAGTCCACTCAGCTCCATGACCTGAGTCTAACAGCTGTTTAGAACGAGATTGAAAGTGGTAACACAGCTGTTAAGATGGCCCTCACCCCACCTGGCCAGGAGGCGTTGTCCAAGGGTCCGCCTCGCGAGACGGACCCGCAGGCAGGTAAAACGACGGACGGGCACAAACACAGGGTTTTAGGGTTTGTCGGACCTCAAATGAGATCTGTCTCACCGGGGCCGCGCGAGGGACGCGGCACGTTCCGCGATGTCAAAATCAACGAAGTCGGCACTTTCAGAACCCCTTTCCCGTCCTCGCTTGTGCGGAAGTGAAGACGTGGCTTTGCCCAGCGGCTCTGGTAGAGGAGCACGATGCCGCCATCCTGGAAAGCTTGGAAGTTGATCCAAAGAACCACAGCAAAGGTGCACACATGACCGTGAAGCACTCTACCACATGAAGAATTACTACAGAACTCAAAACACACATCACGTCCGGGAACGGTGTAAGCGAAGGTCACACACCCTGCGGAACCAAACGTCCAATTCAACTCACATCAGCCAAGGCATCATGCAAGAACCGCACGGATCCGCCACCATCTACTTCCCTGCAGCATTTCACCACCACAAACCGTCGCATCTGGTGAAAGATTCTCATGTGTCTCAACATGCCGCCAAACATGGAAGAGACTTGCTGAGGAAGGCTTGGGAAGGATGGGCTTTGCAGGACGAGCACCCGCACCACTCAATGGCTTCCCCAGGCATCTCCTTGACCATCTCCATGGGGTCTCCTGCCAGCGGCTTGGGCGGCGCCTGGAATCAGAAAAAAGAATAATTGCATTGCATTGCATTTGCAAGCTTGCTGCAAGCTCGCGTTTTTCCCTGCCTCGGGCAGCTCCTTGGCGAAGCGCCTCAAGCGCCCGTCGCGAAGGATCCAAAGTCCGGGCCCATCTGCTACGAAGTTCGCGCCACCGTTCCTAGGAAGCTGTGAATCTCGTTGGTCTCGCTCATGTTCAGCACAGGGAAAGCTAAGTCTGCTGGCTTCTGCCAGTTGTTATAGCCGTCGTTGAGGAGGAACCTCAGGGAGCGGAAAGAACGGAGAAAAGGGGGAAAAAGATTTGAAGTACTTAAAATTTGATTAAAGAGAAAAAAAGGTAGTGTACGAATGTATTTGTTCCCCACATCTAGTGTGGGGTTCTAATTATTAAGTGCGTCGCCCGGCACCTGCAGCGTGCTCTTCCGTCGCGCAAACATTTTGGACGCGTTGATGT